TTGCAGAGAATTCTATGTCCCTGAAAGGAAGAACCTCTCTCCTTATTAAGCTATTAGACCTTCCTGCTCTGTCACTACTGGCACTCCCCACACACAGAGATCAGGGTTTGGAACAGAGTGGACCCTAAAGACTTGGGTTGTAGGGGATACAATGAATTTCCTGCTTCTCACAGAAGGCAGGGTCTGTGGGTCATCATCTGTACTTGCTCCAATTAGATTCCCCCAGGAGACTATGAAAGTTTAGACTCAAAGGGAGAATTCTCTCCCTCTCAATCTAAACTGTCTATATGGCTGACATTACCTCCTCCAGGCTGTCTGCATAATGCAGCCAGGGCTGACCCAGGCTAAACAGGAGAATCCAGTGGCCATTTGGGGTAGTGAAAAGGGGACAGCATTGCCCATTCTTAGTCCCATGTGCTCAGGTACGCACTCAATGACCTGCTTCCCTCGTCCCAGGTACTCTACTCACCAGGCTGATGTGCAAAGTTCACACTGCAGATAGGGCCACTGACATGCAGAGAAATTCAGAAGTGTGTCTGTGATGCATGTCCAGGGCTTAAAACATCCAGGTTTTCAATCCAGACTTTTTCAAATGAAACACAAGTTCTCTTTCAATTTCCTTCATCAGGTGAATCTTGGAAATGGACAGAAAGAAAGGAGCAGGAGTTAGAAATCGGAAGATAATATTTCTGAAGTATCTGCCCCTAGAAAAAGCAGAGTTCATGGTAACAAGGATCCCAGCAGCAAAAATTAGCACCACTAATTTAATATGAATTTAATAAGAATTTCATATGATCCTCCCACAATCCTATGAAGTAGATAAGGTTCTGCTCTTCTTTCACAGGTGAGAACTCAAAGAATAAGTTCTTCTCGGAGCTGGGAAGTGAACTGTGGGCAGCAAGGGGGTGGGCTCTGTGGGGCCAGCATCTCTGCTGACCTGGACATGGCTATGCCCAAGGCTCTCTGTCCCAGAACTGAGAAATGTTTATGAGGCTCTGTGTGTGCAGCTGCGAGAGCCCACCCAGTGCAGAGGAGGGTGGAGGAACCTCCCAGGTTTCCTTTGTGAGCAGAGCAGTAAGGAGGTTCTTATCTCACTTCCCCATGGGTCGGAAGCGGTGTGAAAGTATTTGGGTTGCTATGATATGTAGCACAGTAATAGTCAGCCTCATCTTCAGGCTGCAGCCCAGAGATGAGTAGGAGCCCTGCATTGACCAAGGTGTCTTTGGATCCAGAGAAGCAGCTGGGGACCCCAGAGCCCTGATGTTTGTCTGAGTCTGATTTAAATCTCAGCAGATACCGGGGAAGGCTCCCTGGCTTTTGCTGGAACCAGCGAATGTGGTAGTCGGCAACACTGAAGCCACTGCTGGGGGTGCAGGTGAGTCTGGTTGTGGCTCCCAGAGATGCAGAGAGGGAGGGCGGCTGAGTCAGCACAGCCTATGAGAGGGAACCTGCAAATACAGACACTTGTCAGTGATGGGGCAGAACCAGGGGAAGGTACTCAAGAGATGGAGCATACAGGGAATAAAGCAGAACTGAGCCCTGGTCCCCGAGGCTCGGCTCCACCTGTGTAGTGAGAGAGGATCACGAGGAGGAGAGGAGTCCAGGCCATGGTGCACACAGCCCCTGAGCCCACAGTGGGGCTGGGCTGCTCAGGCCTCCTTTTCTCCCCACCCTCTGCCAGGGGAGGGGCCGTCCATGCAAATGTGTGTCCATCCAGGGGCTGCCCAGCCCCTTCCCCAGCCCTGGTGCTGGAGCCCAGATCATACCCCATACAGGGGAGGATGGAGGTTGGCTTCAGCCCTTGGAAGAACCCTAGGTGGTAGCACTCTTGACACAAAACACAGGACCCTGCTCAGGGGAATTTATCAGACCCCAAGTGGATACACCTGCTGAATCCCCATCAGTGTGCACATGGCCCAGCTACGAGGCCCAGGCTCCTGTTACTGAATGGTCCCTAATGAGCAGCTTGGTAGGCACCCTAGGGCAGTCCCACAGTGCCCCCTGCTGGTGACAGTGCACAAACCTTCTCATGGCCCAAGGCCTTCAGAACCCAGCTGGTTTCTGCAGCTCAGCAGGTCACTGGATCTGTTCACACATCCAGGGTCTGGTTCCCAGATACTGTGACTCTGATACACTGTACTGGTTACTGTGGCAAATCACTCTCAAGGGGTCCCCTTCTGTGTGAGATGCAAACATGTCACATAAGTGACAAATAAATTTGTTTCACATTCAGTGAAGGTGTTGCAAAAGTAAATGCAAACTAAGATTCGTGTTCAATGTCAGAGATGAAGGTACTATTCATCTGGAGTGAAGGACTCGTGTGGGCTTCAAGAGAAATTTCTGAGTCAAGAGACTCAGATTCACATGTGTAGGAGGCTGACTCAGCAAACCTTTCAAGTGGTGTGATACAGGTACAGCTTTCACAGATGTGATTTGATAAGTGATTGGTAAAGAGAAGGGCTCACATTTAACAGTGGAAAGTGTTGCATGCTAATTCATTTGAGGAATTAACTTTTATTCTTAGTTTTCTCTTCTTTTTATTCTTAGTGTTCTACATACCCGTGTTCTCTGTTACCTGTTCGGGTTTTGTCTTATTTGTTTATATTTGTTTATATTTTAAACAAAATTATCCCTCCCTGTATTTTCTTACGCACTGTGTTATTTTAATAGCAAGATAATAGTCAGTTGTGTGATGGGTTCGTGCCTGTGTTGAGTGTCTGGGCAGTTGAAGGCAGAGACCAGCACGTCCCTCTGTGCCCGGATCCACCTGTGCTTTACCTGTGCACATGGTCCCATAGTCCCCACACGTCTACACTCATGGGGACTCCTAGTCAATAACTCTGGCCAGGACCACTTTCTCACCTTGGGCACTGTGTCCTCAAGACACTCGAGGGGTCTTTTTCACTGAGCTCAGACACGTCACCCCCTGCTCAAAACCTTCAGTGACTCCTCACTGCTGTTTGCACAGAACCCCAACTCCTGGGCTCCCCTCAGGGGGCTTCATGGTTGGCCCCATCACCTCTACACCCACCACGCAGCCCCTCCATGTGCTCTTGGACTTCCAGCTTTCCCCACTTCCCTGCTACTTCACATCCCTGACCCCTGTCCCTTCATGGTGTTGAGGTGAGTCCTCTGCTGTCCTTGAAGGAAATAGGACTAAACTTGAATCAAGGGGACAACCCATATTCTGGCCTTTAGAGTGGCTCTCAGTAGTAGGGCACACTCATGTCATCACAGACGGCACTAGAGAATCAATATGACAATGTTGAAGTCGTACAACCTATAGACAGGAGTTCACAGAACCACCTGAACCCATTATGCTAACTCAACCCCATGCATGGGACCTCTCCTGTTTAACCCTCTACCCCCGTACCTTTCACTCTGCTCCCTCACTGACCATGAGAACACACCCACACACCACGTCCTCATCAGAGTGCATCGTTGCATAAATATCGTTTATGTCCCCAACTCCTGCATAGGACAGCAATGGGTTCCAACCACCGTCACATAAATGTCCTGTGTTGTCATCTCCGGAATGGTCAGCTGACTGCTGTGCTGAGTGAGAGAGAGAAGGGGGAACGGGCTTCCTGTGTTTGGAGTCATGAGGTTCAGGGGTGACACGTGGGAGCAGGAGGAAGTCCAGATCAGCACACAGGACTTCAGACCATCATTTATCGGCTCCCTTCACCCACGTCACGGGACAGAATCCTGTCTCGTTCACACAGAGATTTCAATCCTATGGTGCTTCCTTTTTGAGTTTCCCTCTAGAGTTCGTTGTTGGACTTTAGGTAAAGAAGTTGAATATGACATTTAATTGATCACATGGTGGACTTTGAGCTGTGTGTTAGTCCCAGGTGATGATGACCTTACAGACTGTTAAAGGGAAATGTGAGCAGACATTCAAACAACCACTGTGCCCTGGGCAGGTCACATTCTCATGAGGGTCGTCGTGTCTTCCATCCTCAGGGTCTGCTCCTCACCCACCTGCTGCTCCTGTCTGTGCTCCAGGACCCACACACACCTGACCCCAAGGGCACATGATCCTGTCATGTGTTCAGTCATCTTTGTGTCTCAGGCTTGATAACACTCCCTAAGAGAGTAAATGAAATATATACAAAATATTTTATGGGCAATGTGTAAAATTTCAAAATATTAATAGCACACATACTTTAGCCAAATATTATACTCCACACATTGGGTGAATTTTTGTTTGTTTTATTTATGTTTACTGTATTTTTTCCATTAGCATTTACTCCACTTGTACTCTCTTCCTTGCAGCAATCACAATACTATTGTCCATGCCCATGAGTCCTTGTCCTTTTTGCTCAACCATGCCCACTCCTGAGCCCCACTCTCCCCCCACTAGCTGTCCTCCTGCTGTCCTTCACACTGATTGACAGGACTTTCCACATCACTGGGTCCCAAGCAATAACCATATGTGAGTCTGTGTAACTGTTTTATTTCAGGCGGGAACTCAGAAGAACAGAGAGACGGCACATTAGTCTCCGTCCACCTGACTGGCATGAACGTAACTCAAAGGCAAAGGCTGCCTAACAGCTGAGAACACGCTCATTTAACCCACCGGGTCTCAGCCTGGGGTCACTGGGCCCCAACAGGGCATATTTGGAAATCTGGAGGTAGTGTCGAGGGTCATAACCTAACAAGAGGGTGTCACTGTCATCCATGAGCAGAGTCCAAAGGACACATCTGAGTGTGCCACATGCACAGAGCAGACCCTCCACAAGCACTGACCCACCCCCATTCCACAAACACACAGGCTCACACACCCTGCTCTGCACTAACTCACCCTCAGGAATTCATTGTACAGAAAATAGACAACCAACCTCCCTGACATGGGGGAAAGTTGGAAAGAAAATAGAGGGACTCAGAAACCGGCAATCTCTACACAAACTTTCCAGCAGGAGGCAGCAGAGAGCACCCTCCTTGGTGGGGACAGGCTGAGTGCAGACCCAGAAAGGGAAGCTCTGGGGGTTTTGGTCTCACTTCCCCTGAGTCTGCAGCACTGTGTGATTACCACTAGTATCAGAAGACAGACAGTAGTAGTCGGCCTCGTCCTCTGGCTGCAGCCCCGAGATGGTCAGGACCCCTGCATTGGCCGAGGCGTCCTTGGATCCAGTGAAGCGGCTGGGGACCCCGGATCCTTGGTCCTTTAATGAATCGCTGTAGTAGGATAGGAGATACCTGGGAGGGCTTCCTGGCTTCTGCTGGTACCAGGATATAACAGAGTAGCGAACACTGAAGCCACTGCTGAGGGTGCAGGTGAGTCTGGCTGTTGCTCCCAGAGAAGCAGAGAGGGAGGACTGCTGAGTGACCACAGGCTGGGAGAGGGAACCTGCAGAAACACAGACAGTTGTCATTGATGCAGTGGGAACCAGGAAGAGTTACTCAGGAGATGGAGTATGAAGGGAATAATAGCCTTGGGAACTCAGCACTGGTTCCCGAGGCCTGTCCCTACCTGTGCAGTGAGAGAGAAGCACCAGGAGGAGAGGAGTCCAGGCCATGGTGTACACAGCCCCTGAGCCCACAGTGGGGCTGGGCTGCCCAGGTCTCCTTTTCTCCCCACCCTCTGCCAGGGGAGGGGCTGTCCATGCAAATGTGTGTCCATCCAGAGACTGCTCAGCTTCTCCCTGAGCCTTGGTGCTGGAGCTCAGGTCACACCCCAGACAGAGGAGGATGGAGGCTGACTTCACCCTTGGGGAGCACCTTGTGGGGAAGTACATCCTGAGACAACACAAAGGACCCTTCTCAGGGGACTCTGCCATGCTAGAACAGACACAGCTGTTGAGTCTCCATCTGTGAGCTCAGAGCCCAGACCCCAGTCCCATCCTCCTAGGAGTGAATGGTCCCTGATGAGCAGCTTGGTAGGCACCCCCAGGGCAGTCTTGCAGTGCCCCCTGCTGGTGGCAGTGCCAACACCTCCCCACATGGCCCAAGATCCAGGAGCCCAGCTGGTCTCTATAGCTCAGCAGGTCACTGACTCTATTCATGCACCGAGGGTCTGGTTCCCAGACACTGTGACTCTGAGAAACTGTACTGGCTGCTATGGCATCTCACTCCCAGGGGTCCTGTTCTCTGGGACGTGCAAACATGCACTTAGATGACAAATTAATTTCTTTCACCTCTAGTGAAGATGTCCAAAGGTAAATGCAAAGTAGCCTGCATGTCCAATGTTACAGACCAGGGGACCATGCTTCTGGTTTGAAGTAGTCATGTGGGGTTCTCAGAGAAAATTCCAAGAACACTCAGAGGTACGTGCAGAGGAAGCCAACACAGCAAGCATTTCAATTCAGGAGACACAGGTACAGTTTCATAGATCTGACTTGACTGAATGATAGGTAAAGAAAACGGCTTTGAAAGACTTCACATTTAACAGTGAAAAGTGTAGCACGCTAATTCATTTTAGGAATTAAAATTTTTATTTGTAATTTCCTCTTATTCTTTATTGTTGGCGTTCCTCATACCTCTGTTGTGTTTTTGTCTATGATTTAGTCTTAGGTGGCCTAAAATATGTATATATTTTAAACAATACTTTTCCTAGAGTCATTTTCTTATTCGCTGTCTATTTTAGTACAAGATGAAAGTGAGGTTGTGACCTGTTGGAAGATGTGCTGCTGAATGTTGGGCAATTAATTCGATCCACAAAGCATCACTTCCTCTCGGTGCCCCGTATCCGGCTCTGCTTCACCTGGGCCCACGGGCCCACGGTCCCCACACGTCTACTCTCACAGGGCCTCTTAGTCAATAGCCAGGACCAGGAGCACTGGCTCACCTTGGGCTCTGTGCCTTCCAAGCACTCAAGGGGTCTTTGTCACCCCTCCACTCTGGGGACCAGGGAGGGCAGACCCAGGACAGGAAGGCCCGGGGGAGTTTTGCTGTCACATCCCTGGGAGTCTGGGGCACTGTGAGCTTGCAGCCACTACCGTGAGAGAGAAGAAGGGAATTGGCCTCGGCCTCGGCCTCGGACTGCAGCCCAGAGATGGTCAGTGGACAGCACTGGAGAGGCTGTGGGTGCAGCCAGAGAACCGATCCTGAAGCTGACCTCCCAAGGGCAGACAGGACCCGCAGTCCTGAGATGAGCCAGGGCTGACGGTGGGGACTCTACAGGGTGGGTTTGTCATCTTCAATAGGACAGCCCATAGGAGGGTGTAGGAGGGAAGACCCAGGGCACCTGATATAGTCACGGGGTGTCCCCTGAGGGCACATGGCCTGGACTGCAGCATGAACAGGGACAATGAATGATTAAGAAAACCTGTCCCTCCCTCTCTCAGCTCCCACAGCAACCGCACCACTGGCTCTGACTGACACCGTTTGCTGAGACTCTGCACCTGCCACCTTCCCCCAGACATTTCTGTGTGAGGCAGGGCTTAAAGGGCCATGGCGTCTTGGTCCCCCAGGCCTAACCAGACTGTTTTACATGACAACCCTGTGGGCGATGCCACAGACTTCGTGTCTGTGGCCCAGGACACCGTCTGGTCCTTCCAGCACAGCTGCCACGCATGTCCCTATGTTAGGGACTTCCTGAGTGCAGTTGAGCTGGGCCTCCTACCTGTGTCTCCCTACAATTCTGAGTCACACCATCTTGGGGGCTGTCCTGGACATGAATGGCTCAGATCCCTGTCACCTGTGACACACGAGGTGGCTACAGATGAGAAGTGTAAGAGTTGGAAGTGTCGTCACAATGAACGTCATGAGACCCAAGTAGAGGGGACAGTGTGACCACCCAGGGGGAGCTGGTCAGACCGTGTCCTGGGTCAGCCTCTTCCCTGGGGTGACAATCTGCTCCCTGGGGGTGGGTGGGACTGATCCCCAGTCCATGGGGGCCCGATTTGTGGAGATCCTATGTGAGTGATTCACACTCTCTGAGCCTCAGAGTCTAATGGCAGGATATGAAGAGAAAACCTCACACGAATCACAATCAATACCTGTCCACAGCATTTTGTACTGTGATCAGTCTGACTGAGTCAGAGCACAGCCACACAGTGCAGGTCAGACCTCTGGTGCAAGTCTTCCCCTTTGCCCTGGTTCCAGGATGGTCCCTCTCCCTCAGAGCAGGGCCAGCATGTGTCCAGGCCTGCAGGGGGCGCTCATGACTGTGGGTGAAGAAGATGGGCCTTTCCTTCCTCCTGAGCCTCAGCTATACCTGCACCAGGTAAGACCACAGAAACCTGGGACTCCTAAGGACGCAGGAAGGTCGCAGCATGACCCAGACCCTTATTTTCCTCAGGAACGTGAGGCTGCTTGGCCTTGACCCACAAGCACTGACTCAGATGCCAGGGCTCTGAGGAGGTCACCAGGGTCCCACTGCTCTGGGTGAGGAAGAGCTGCCCTGGGCGACACCCACCCAGGATCCTTCTGGACACTGTGTGTGTGGTGGGGGCATGGTGAGTGAGTGTGACAGCAGAGTCTCAGACACAAGCAGGGCAGGGATGTGAGGAGGTGGCTGGCAGCACAGGGGAAGGGTCTGTCTGGTGCCCATGAGTTCCAGCAACAGCCAGAGCTGCCAGGAAGGAGGCTGAGGATTGGCTGTGAGCCTGGGCATCCAGGACCCTCCATCATCACAGCCCAGGATCTGCTGGCTCCAGTTCCCACAGCATCCACCCACGTTGCTAAGGTCCCCAGGAGAGGCAATGATGAAGCTCAGACCAATGCTCGGGCTATGATGACCTCTGACAAACCCGAACTGAGCACCAGGCCTCAGACACAGCCGAGAGTGACACTGACTGCAGGGTCTGGTGTCACAGCCCACGGGACGCTTGGCCCCAGAGAGAAGGGACCATGTGCTCTCCAGGGCTCACTCCCCTGACAACCAGGACTGATCTCTGTGTGGGAAGGTGGGCGAGGGGGAGCGCCCATGGAGCAGCCAGACCTCCTCATGGGGTCTCACTGCGGGGACTCTGCTTCAGTCCCCTGACCTCCTGAATCTGCTACAGGGGTTCCTTGCTTGCAGATACCTGCTGTTTCCCTGGACAGAGACATGAAAAACAAGAGGTTCAGAAAGCACAGGAGATGAGCAGCATCAGAAGCCAGGTGAGGGACCCGACAGTCAGGGGCATTGGGTGACAGGTGTGGATCCAGACAGTCACAGGGGCGTGGAGCCCGAAGCTCAAGAGCAGGGTGGGCCGGTCCTCACCTGCCTGGGGGGCACCCAGTCCTCTCAGCATCAGTCCTCCTGAACCACTGTAGTGGGAAACCGGGGCCTCACACACTGGGGGAAATGGAACTGGTCAGAGCGCAGGAGGGAAGGCCCTGGCCTCTTCTGAAAGGCGTGGAGGGGCCTCGTCTGAGAAGGTCTGTTCTGCACAGTCGGGCTAACCTGAGTGATAGGGGGACAGAGCAACCTTCAGCCCACACACAGACAACAGTGCGTCCAGCCCTGGGATCGGGGTTCAGGGCGTTTCCCTGCTGCCCTGACAACAGGACTCAGGGACACTCATGTCACTCCAGTTTCCCGATGATGAAGATTCTGCCTCCTGGAGACGCTGACCCTGAGGACCCTGGGTCAGCAGTGGTTGAACCCAGACTCCTAGAGAAACAGAGAAGCCTAAGAAATGCAGAGTCCAGAAGAAGATACACTCAGAGTAGGAGGGGTGTGTGTGTGTGTGTGTGTGTGTGTGTGAGAGAGAGAGACAGACAGACAGACAGACAGACAGATGGACAGACAGACCGAAACACTTTCCCCAACACCCTCAGAGAGCCTGTCCCTCAGCTACTGAGCCTGAGGACAAGTGGCCTCCTGTCCTCCCTCATCTTCTCCCCCACTGAGGGCGTTCTCCCAGCAAACCTGTCCTTGGGGCGGGTTCTTTGTGTGACCCTTCAGGGCCTGGCTCCCAGCACTAAGACCAGGGTGTGGAGGGCCGCTTCCTTGGGTCCAGGGTGAATCTGAGGGGAAAGGAGGCATCTGGAGCAAATCAGCTCTGGTAACCGTTGCCCGTCACGGAGTCCAGGTCCTGTGGGGGCGGGAAATCTGGGCACTTCCCTCCCGCAGGCCCAGCGTCCTCAGACGTGGGGTCCCAGGTCTCGGGGAGCCCAGGTCAGGGGTGCACACAGCCCCTTCTTTCTGCCCTGACACCACCGCCCACCACACAGTGCCCTGAGGTCCCTGGTGCGTCCCAGGGGGTGACCAACACAGAGTGTTCACATTTATTTGGGGAAAGGACTGAGGCCTGGGACATCTCCAGACAAATGAGTGTGTGTGGCCGGGTTCATCCTGATGTTCTCAGGAAACACATCTTCTCAGGGACAAGGGCACACTGGACGTGCCTGTGAAGAGGTGGGCGTGTGAGGCCTCAGTAACTCTGCAGCAGGAAACACCAGCACCTCAGTAACCCCTGTGGGCACAGACTTAACCGTTAAACACACACTTCATTTTCAGGACAATCAAGGATCGTGTTGTCACATGAATGAGACTGACTGTGGGTGCTGGGGGGTGGACAGCAGCAGCTTGGGGAGCAGCTTGGAAATGAGATTGTGGAGGAACTTCCTGAGGATTGATTTCTGTTCATCCCCCTCCCTAGAGACCGAGCCCTGGGGAGTGACACCCACAGAAAGGACCCCCCACTTTTCTCGGGAACCCTGGACTGGAGACCCAGTTCATCCTGAAGGCCCAGAGGGGGAGGGGAGGGAGGAGGGGCTGCAGAGGGGCAGAGAGGGGAGGGTGGTGGGCGGGGCCTGGGCAGTGCACATCTGCCAGGGTTCTGACCAGTGGGTCACAGGTGTGTTGAGAGAAGGAGAAAAGTCCGTCTGTGACCAGGGTCAAGATTAGCGTGTCAGTGTGATGCGTCATGAGTAACACAGTACTCACACATCACGGCTTTACTTGGGGGTGACAGTGACTATGTGGTCATCCTTTGTAGATGCAGATACAGTTTTGTGAGGGGACAGAAAATCTATATTGGTTTCAGTCCCTGGTCCTTAACACAGAACTCCTGAACCCATCAGATTTCCTGGGTGACACATAGCCTTTTGTTCTAAAGAGGTGACTCTGGGTGGGCTCCTGGGTGTGGACAGCTCACTCACAGGCAGAGGAACAGTTCCAAGCATGGAATTTTCAGAACTGCCCCGCAGTGTTAAGGAGGGAGAAGGGCTCAGGTGGAGTCAGCAAATTCATTTAATCCACAACAGGGACCCTGGGAGCCTCTGAGTTAAAGACAGGAAGTGGTATGAGACCTGGTCATGTCCTGCATGTGACTGTCACCTGCAGAGTGGGCAGTCCTGTGGGGAGAAGCCCTCTCTGTGAACCCGACACCGTCTCCAGGCAGTCGTGTGGGAGCTGAGTTGTGTGGTGGGACCTCCACCTGCTGTCACAGGGGATATGCTGGTTGTAAACAAAGTGGCCCCACATTTGGTGACCAGAGTGTCAGAAGTGAAGTGTCCTGACTGCAAAAGAAGACACAACAGGATGAAAGAAATGAATTTTTACTTAAAACTATTGTTCTTGTTCAAATTTACTCCAACACTGTGGGGACAGTCAGTTGGGCTTTGTCACCCCTTCAGCTTGAGTGACCCGGAGACGCCCTGTGCTCTCACTCACGACTGTATGCTGCTCCACCCCCTTCCATGGACATTTCTGACTGCAGAGGAGCCCACCTTGCAGAGGCCTCTACAGAAGCTTCAGTGAGGCTCAGAGCAATAACCTCTGGGCCCAGGGGTTTCTGTCTCACTTCCTCGGCATCTGAGCCACTGTGAGTAACTGCTGCTGCTCCCACTGCCATGAGCTGTAGCACAGTAATAGTCGGCCTCGTCCTCAGGCTGCAGCCCAGAGATGGTCAGGAGCCCTGCATTGGCCGAGCCATCTTTGGACCCAGAGAAGCGGCTGGGGACCCTGGAGCCCTGGTGCTTCTCTGAGTCTGATTTATACCACAGGAGATACCGGGGAGGGCTCCTTGGATTCTGCTGAAACCAGATTATGTAGCTGTCACCAACACTGATGTCACTGCTGAGGGTGCAGGTGAGTCTGGCTGTGGCTCCCAGAGAAGCAGAGAGGGAGGGCGGCTCAGTCATCACAGGCCGGGAGAGGGAACCTGCACACAAAGAAACTTGTCAGTGATGGGGCAGAACCAGGGGAATTTTCTCAGGAGATGGAGTAGGAAGAGAGTAAACTTGGGAACTGAGCCCTGGACCCCGAGACCCGTCCATACCTGTGCAGTGAGAGAGGAGCACGAGGAGGAGAGGGGTCCAGGCCATGGTGCACACAGGCCCTGAGCCCACAGTGGGGCTGGGCTGCCCAGGCCTCCTTTTCTCCTCACCCTCTGCCAGGGGAGGGACCGCCCAGGCAAATGAGTGTTCACCCAGGGACTGCCCAGCCCCTCCCTGAGCCCTGGTTCTGGAATTCAGCTCACACTCACACGGAGGAAGATGGAGGCTGACTCACCCCTTGGAAAACACCTGAGGGGAATAACCCCTTGAGACATCACAGAGGCCCCTTCTCAGGGGATATTATCAAGCCCCAGAGGACACAGCTGCTGAGTCCCTGTCAGTGTGCACTGGTTCCAACCACCAGACCCAGGCTCCTATTAGTGAATGGTCCCTACTGAGCAGCTTAGTAGGCACCACAAGGCAGTCCTTCAGTGCCCCCTGCTGGTGGCAGTAGAAACACCTTCCAACATGACCCAAAACTCAAGCTGGTTTCTGCAGCTGGGCAGGTCTCTGACTCTCTTCACACCTCCAGGGTCTGGTTCCCAGATACTGTGACTCTGAGACACTGTACCGGTTACTGGTGCATCTCACTCCCAGGAATCCACAACTGTAGGAGGTGCAAATTTGTCTGTAAATGACAAATTAATTTATTTTCACAGCCAGTGATGATACTGCAAATGTAAATGCACAGCGACCTTTACATCCAATGTCACACTTGAGGGCACCACCCATCTGGTTTGAAGGCTTATACAGGCTGCACAGAGCATTTGCCAGGAACACACTCAGGAGCAGGGGCAGAGGAGGTCTTTTCAGCAAAGATGTCAAGTCGTGTGATGCACACAGTTTTCACAGATGTAATTTGATTGATAGGTAAAGAAAATGGCTCTTGAAGGGCTCACATTTAACAGTGGAAAGTGCACCATCCTAATTCATTTTAGGAATTAATCTTTAGTCTTCTTTGTTTTCTCTCATTTTTTATTCTTACTGTTTTGCATACCTGTGTATTCAGTTTCTTGTTAGGATTCTCTCTTAGGCGATGTCACATTTGTTTTTATTTTAAACAAAACTGCCTTAACTTTCTTATTCATTGTCTCACTTCAATAGCAAGATACCATTCAGGTGAGATGCGTTCGCACCTGTGCTGACTGTCTGGTCGGTTGGAGGCAGAGACCAGCACTTCCCTCTGTGCCTGCATCCACCTCTGCTTTACCTGTGCCCACAGTCCCATGGTCCCCACATGTCCAGACTCACAGGGACTCATATTCAGTGACCCTGACCAAGATCACCTGTTCACCTGGGGTGCTGTGCTCTCAAGGCACTCCAGGGATCTTTCTCTCTCACCTCAGACAGGTCACCCCCTGCTCAAAACCCTCAGGGTCTCCCCACTGCTGTTTGCACAGAACCCCAACTCCTGAGCTCCCCTCAGGGGGCTTCCTGTTGGCCTGCCCTCTCCACCCACCACACAGCCCTCCATGTGCTCTCGGACCTCCGAGTCCCCACCTCCCTGTTACTTCAGATCCCAGACTCTCCTCCCATCATGGTGTTCAAGGTGACTGTTACTCTGATCTTTGGAAGGAAATAGGATTGAACTTGAATTCATGGTGACAACTCACATTTGGCCAAATCTCAGTGGCTCTCAGTAGAAGTAGGGCACACACACGTCATCATGGACAGAATAAGAGAATTAACATGACAATGCTGAAGTCACACAAACTATAGAGACGAGTTCAAAGAACCACCTGCATCGATTACACCACCTCAACCCCCATGCATGGGACTCCTCCTGTCTAATCTCCTATCCTCCGTATCTACTGACTTTTAACACAAACTCACAGGCCCTGGCTGGTGTGGCTCAGTCGACTGAGTGCCAGCCTGCAAACAAAAGGGTCCCTGGTTGAATTTCCAGTCAAGGCACATGCCTGCTTTGCAGGCCAGGTCTCTGGTAGGGGGCGCTCAGGAGACAACTACACATTCATGTTTCTTTTTCTTGCTCCCCCCCCTTCCCCTGTCTAAAAATAAATACATAAAATCTTAAAAAAAAAAAAACACAACAGAAACACACAACATGCCCCTTCTTCAGCACATATTCTAGCATAAATAGGCATCTACGTCCCCAAACATTGGTGCAGGACAGGAAGGGGCACCACCTCATGTAACACGAATGTACGTGGGTAGAAATCTCCAGAATGGTCAGCTGACTGACTGCTGTGCTGAGTGAGAGAGGGAAGAGGAACAGGCTTCCTGTGTCTGGAGTCATGAGGTTCAGGGGTGACATGTCTGAGCAGAGGAAAGTCCAGACCAGCACACACGGCCTCGGACCATCATTTATCGGCTCCCTTCACCCACGTCACAGGGCAGAATCCTGTCTGTTCACACAGACACTTCAAACCCATGGATCTTCATTTATGAGTTTGTGCACTCGAGTGCTTTGTGGGACTTTGAGTAAAGAAAATTGATATTATGTTTTATTGATCAGATGGTAGATTTTGAGTTGTGAGTTAGTCTCAGGTGACAACTGATGACCTTACAGACTGTTATTTAAGTGGAATGTGAGCAGACACTCAAACAACCACCTTGCCCTGGGCAGGTATTTGCTCATGGGGGTCGTGCTGTCCTCTGTCCTCAGTGTCTGCTCCTCACCCACCTGCTGCTCCTGTCTGTGCTCCAGGACCCACACACACCTGACCCCAAGGACATGAGAGCCTGTTATGTGTTCAGTCATCTTTGTGTCTCAGGCTTGAAATGCACTCCCTAAGGGATCAAATGAAAACTTATGAAATGTGTTATCTGCAATGTGTAAAACATCAATATATTAACTGCATACGTATTTTGGCAAAAAATTATACTTCACTTATAGATTTCTGTTTTGTTTTTGTTTGTTTCATTTAGTTTTTATTATATGAGTTTCCATTAACATTTATTCCTCTTTTAACCTCCTCACCTCAGGAATCACCACATCGTTGTCCATGCCCATGAGTCCTTTCCTTTGGCTAAATCGCCTCTCTCCCTGGCCTCACCCTCCCTCCACTAGCTGTCCTCCTCCTGTCCTTCACCCTGACTGAGAAGATGTTCCAGATGACTGTGTCCCAGGCTCTGAACTCAGGTTACACACAGGAGTGTGTAACTCCTGTGTCTGACAGACGGGAACTCAGAAGCACAGAGAGATGGCACATTAGTCCTTGTCCAGCTGACAGGCATGAACAGCACTCAAAGGGAAAGGCTACCTAACAGCTGAGAACACACTCATTTAACCCCGTGGGTCCCACCCTGGGGTCATTGGGCCCCCTCAGGGCATATCTGGAAATCTTCAGGTGGTTTCTTGAGTCATAACCTAACAAGAGGGTGTCACTGTCATCTATGAGCAGAGTCCAAAGGACACATCTGAGTGTCACACATGCACAGAGCAGACCCCCCACAACCACTGACCTGCCTCCATTTCACAAATGCACAGGCTCTCACACCCTGCTCTGAACTAGCTCACCCTCAGGAATCCATTGTACAGAAAATAGACAACCAACCCCCTTGACAGTGGGGAAGGTGGAAAGAAAATAGAGGGATGCACACGGGCTGTGAACCAAAGTTTCGCAGGTTGGATTCCCAGTCAGGGTACATGCCTGGGTTGCAGGCCACGGCCCCCAACAACCGCACATTGATGTTTCTCTCTCCCTCTCTCTTTCTCCCTCCCTTCCCTCTCTAAAAATAAATAAATAAAATCTTAAAAAAAAAGAAAAAAGAAAATAGAGGGATGCAGAAACCTCCAATCTCAACATGAACTTTCCAGCAGGAGACAGAAGAGACCACCTTCCTTGGTGGGCTGAGTGCAGACCCAGAAGGGGAAGCTCTGGGAGTTTTGGTCTCACGTCCTCCTGAGTCTGCAACACTGTGTGATTATACCTAATAGTGCTACCACCATGAGACTGACAGTAGTAGTCGGCCTCATCCTCAGGCTGCAGCCCTGAGATGGTCAGGGAGGCAGCATTGGAGGAGATGTCTATGGAGCCAGAGAACCGATCCGGAACCCCAGAGGGTCTTTTCTTATTATCATAGATCACAGGTGTGGGGCCCCTGCCTGGGCGCTGTTGGTACCAAGTTACATAGTACCTCTCAATGTCGCCATTGCTGCGGGCGCAAAAGATGGTGGCCTTCTGTCCCAGAGACCCAGACACAGAGCCAGGCTGAGTCAGTACCTCTGCCCAAGACACTGCAAGGAGGAGAAAACAGCAATCAGTGAGGACAGGACAGACCTTGTTCCCAGGGAGGGAGGAGTGTCATCGACCCAGGGGACAAGGTGGTGCCCTCCCAGAATCCCCCTCAGGCCCCACCTGTGCAGTGAGCCAGGACAGTGAGGAAAAGTGCAGCCCAGTCCATGGTGGAGACACCCCCAGACTCTGTTTCCTGAGCCCCATAGCCAGGCCTGAGTCTTCAGACTTATATGTCAGCCTGAGGCTTAGAGTAGGACATGGTTATGCAAATCTTCCCTTTTATTGGCTGTCCAAGCCCCTCCTTTAACATAAGCTTGGGCTTCCACTGAGACAAAGGATCACAGGAGTGGGAGGGCTACACCCCAAAGATGCCACAGGAAACAGGCAAGAGTCAGGGAAAGGACTGTCAGCTGAGGAATGTGGGGCACGGCCGCCCTCTTGTGGAAACAGAAGACATGATGCCCTCACAATAGTGCTGGTGCTCAGGGCTCCTGCCCTGCTGGTGACCCTGGCCCTGCACCTCTCTAGTCCCAGCCTTTTCAGCTTAGCTCCATTCACTTAGAAGTGTGCCTGTTAGCTGCCTTCATGTCCTTCTGTGGACTAAACAGTCATTTATTGATATTGCAATTCATATTGTTCAATTGTACAAATAGTTTATTGATTTGTTCACCTATTGAAGGACATCGCAGTTGCTTTGTAAGTTTGAGCAGACATGAATAAATAAGCTGTAACTTTATGTGCACATGCTCATTTTAACACAAGTGACTGATTTATATAAAGACCTAGGAGTCTGGTTTCTGTGTTGCATCACACGAGAGTGTGTTTAACTTTGTGAGAAAATGCCAAAGTGTCTTCAAAGTGCCCATGGTTGGGGTGTCCCAGCAGCACCAATGAGAGTCCCTGCCGCCTCACAGCCTGGGAGCCTCTGCTGTCATCAGTGTGTGAGTGTTGGCCGTGCTGATGGGAACCTGGTGGTCCCACATTGTTACACATGTAATTTCCCACTAACACCTATGTTCACCATCTTTTCAAGTCATTCTCCCAGTTGTACACATTCCTTAGTCATAAGACTGTTCAGAACTGCTCATTGGTGTGAGGTTGGGGGAATGAGGTAGCATTCCCCAGTAGGTGGGAATTCAAGGGCTTCACAAAGGTCTTAAATCAGGTGAAAAATATTCTGTGTGGTTTCTAAGCTCAGAGAATGAGTGAAACCCAGGCTGGTACAATGGAATATACAGGTTGCTATGCACGTGTTAGCTGGATATGAATAAAGGAAGGAAGGAAGCAAAGGGAATTTATTAAGCATGATCAACTGGGGAGCATACGCCTGCTTGCTTAGCCAGGAAGCTACAGCTTCACTGGGGAAGCATCCTTAGGAGATGACAGCATTGTCCCTTCAAGGGGATCAACACCTTTCCCTGCCCATGCAGGGAGCAGCCCAGCCTCCAGGGCCAGGTGTCCGGGAGACCAGGGGAGGGTAAGCACGGGTGCACAAGAAGTGCAAAGGTGCAGGAGGAGGTGCTTCTATGAAGCCTGTGCATTCGGAGCCATGATTGCCTAGAAGTTTGGCCCAGTGCAAAGTTGTGAAAGTTTAGGAAGTTGATTGGTTATTTTGAACAAGTATTAGACCTTTATAAGCCCGAGGTAACACAATGCCAGGGACTCTCTCTATTTCTCTCTCTCTCTCTCCCTCTCTCTCTCTCTCTCTGTCCCACCCAGGAACACAGTCACTGCAGGTCTTCATGTAAGTAACCATTGCTGCTTCCACTGTCATGATATACAGCACAGTAATAGTCAGGCTCGTCCTCAGGCTGCAGCCCAGAGATGAGCAGGAGCCGTGCATTGGCCGAGGCATCTTTGGATCCAGTGAAGAGGCTGGGGACCCCGGAGCCCTGGTGCTTGTCTGAGTCTGATTTATACCACAGGAGATACCAGGGAGGGCTCCCTGGCTTCTGCTGGAACCAACTTATGTAGTAGCTGCCAACACTGTAGTCACTGCTCAGGGTGCAGGTGAGTCTGGCTATGGCTCCAGGAGATGCAGAGAGGGAGGGCAGTTGAGTCAGCACAGGCTGGGAGAGGGGACCTTCAAACACAGACACTTGTCAGTGATTGGGGAGAATCAGGGAAGCTTCTCAGGAGATGGAGCAGAAGGAGAATAAACTTTGGAACTGAGCCCTGATCCCTGAGGTCTGTCCCTACCTGTGCAGTGAGAGAGGAGCAAGAAGAGGAGAGGAGTCGAGGCCATTGTGCACACAGCCCCTGAGCCCACAGTGGGGCTGGGCTGCCCAGGCCTCCTTTTCTCCCCTTCCTCTGCCAGCGGTGGGGCCGTCCATGCAAATGTGTGTCCTTCCACAGGCTGTCCAGCCCCTCCCTGAGCCCTGGTGCTGGAGCTCACCTCATCCCACACTGACAGGGATGGAGTTTGGCCTCATCCCTTAGGAGAGCCCTACAAGAAAGCACCTCTTGAATCAACACAGAGGTCCCTTCTCAGGGGATATCATCAGGTCACAGAAGACACAGCTGCTGATTCCCGTTCAGTGTGCCCAGGGCCCAGCAACCAGGCCCAGGCTCCTATCAGTGAATGGTCCCTAATAAGCAACTTGGTAGGCAACCCAGGATCGCCACACAGTGTCTCCTGCTGGTGGCAGTGGTAACACCTCCCCATGTCACCCAAGGCCCTGAGAGACCAGCTGGTGTTTACAGCTCAGCAGGTGACAGTCTCTACTCACTCACCCATGTGAAGGTTCTCACAACTGTGATTCTGATACAAAGTTATGTCAGAGGTCCCCAGGGGTCTCCTTCTGTGGGAGGGGCAAACATGGTCGTAAGGGACAAAGGGATTTGTTTCACATTCACTGAAGATGCTGCAAAAATAAATGCAAATAAGATTCATGTCCAATGTCACACATGAGGGGAACATTCATCTGTGAATGTTGTTCACCCTTTGAAGGGTTAGAGTTGGCTTTACAGAGAAATTCCCAGGAACAGACTCAGAGATACATGCAGAGGAGGCCGACTCAGCAAACATTTCAAGTCACGTGATGCATGTCAGGCTTCATACATCTGATTTGATTAAATGATTGCTAAGAAGAATGGCTTTTGAAGCATTCACATTTAACAGTGGAAAGTGTAGCATGTTACTTCATTTTCAGAATTAACTTTTATTCATAATTTACTCTTATATTACATTCTCAGTGTTCTCCATTCTTGTATCATGCTTTTCTTCTTAGGATTTTGTCTTAGGTGACCTCACATTAGTTAATAATTTTAACAAAACTTTCTACCTTAATTTTCTTTCTCATTGTCTCACTTTAGTAACAAGATACCAGTCAGGTGTCATGTGTTCACACCTGTGCTGACTGTCTGGGCAGTTGGAGGCAGAGACCATCACATCCCTCTGTGCCCAGGTCCACCTCTGCTACACCTGTGCCCACGGTCCCATGGTCCCCACATGTCTAGACTCACAAGGACTCCTAGTCAATGACTCTGACCAGGATCTCTTGCTCGCTTTGGACACTGTGTCCTCGAGGCACTCAAGGGTCTTCCTCATGCATCTCAGACAGGTCACCCCCTGCTCACAATCCTCACTGACTCCTCACTGCTGTTTGCACAGAACCCCAACTCCTCAGCTGTCCTCAGGGGGCTTTGAGGGTGGCCCCATCTCCTCCACACCCACCACGCAGCCCCTCCACATGCTCTCGGACCTCCAGCTTCCCCCCACCCTTTCCTGTTACTTCGATTCCTGAGGCCTGTCCCTTCATGGTGCTCAAGGTGACCCCTCCTCTGTCCTTTGAGAGAAAATAGGATTAAACTTGAATCATGGTCATAGCACATCTTTCAGCCATTCTGAGAGGCTCTCAATACAGGATGACATATCATCACAGACAGCACCAGAGAATTAATATGACAATGTTGAAGTCACACTAACTATGGAGAAGAGTTCAAAGAACCAACTGAACCCTTTATGCTAACTCAACCCCATGCATGGGACTCCTCCTGTTTAACCCTCTACTCCCCGTACCTCTCACTCTGCTCCCTCACTGACCATGAGAACACACCCACTCACCACGTCCCTCCTTGGCACGTATTGTACCATAAACATCACTTATGTCCCCAAATATTGCACAGCACAACAGAAGGTTCCAACCACCATCACATAAATGTCCTGTGTTGTCATCTACAGAATGGTCAGCTGACTGACTGCTGTGCTGAGTAACAGAGGGAAGGAGGAACAGGGCCTCCTGTGTCTGGAGTCATGAGGTTCAAGGGTGACACGTGTGAGCTGAAGGAGCCCAGACCAGCACACACAGCCTCGGACCATCATTTATCGGCTCCCTTCACCCACATCTCAGGGTAAAATCCTGAATGGTTCACACACAGATTTCAAGCATCCGGTTCTTCCTTCAGGAGTTTTGCCACCAATGTCGCTAGTGAGACTTTGGGTCAGAAGGGGAATATTATGTTTCAATTATCACATGGTGGACTTTGAGCTGTGCGTTAGTCCCAATTGACCACTGATGACTCTACAGACTGTTATTTAAGGGAAATGTGAGCAGACACTCAAACAACCACCTTGCCCTGGGCAGGTATTTGCTCATGGGAGTCATCTTGTCTTCTGTCCTCAGTGTCTGCTCCTCACCCACCTGCTGGTCCTGTCTGTGCTCCTGGACCCACACACACCTGACCCCAAGGACAGGAGACCCTATCTTGTGTTTGTTCATCTCTGTGTCTCAGGCTTGAAAACACTGCCTAAGAGAATAAATGAAGGTAGGCATTATATATTGTATGTGCATGTGAAAATTTTCAACATATTAACAGCACACAGATTTTGGACTAAATTCGTACTGCACTCTGGTTGAGAGGAGACTGGGTCACAGGCTCTGACCCCGTGTGAGTCTGGGTGACTGTTTTGTCTAACAGATGCAACCTCAGAAACACAGACAGATGAGACATCTAGTCTCCATCCAGCTGACTGGCATGAACGGGACTCAAGGCCAAAGCTGCCTAACAGCTGAGGACATATCCTTTTAATCCCATGGGCTTCAAGCTGGGGTGATGGGGCCCCCTCAGGGCATATTTGGAAATGTCTGCATGTGGTTTCCTGGGTCTTGACTTACAGAAGAGTCTGCTACTGTCATGTATGTGCAGAGTGAAAAGGCTACATCTAACTGTCCCACATGCACAGAACTGACCCCCTCCAAGCAATGGCTCCATCCTCATTGTCAGAAATGCAAAACCTCTCTTGCCTTGTTCTGAACTCACTCACCTTCCTGAACACATTGCAAAGAAATAGGCACTCAAACATTCAAACATGAGGAAAATTTGGAAAGAAAATGAAGGGGCTTAGAAACCTACAATCTTAATGACACTTTCCTGCAAGAGACAGAAAAGAGTGCCCCTCCTTGGTGCGGAACCCTGAGGGCAGACCCAAGACAGGGGCGCTTGGGGAGTTTTGGTCTCACTTCCCCCAGAGTCTGGAGCACTGTGTGATTGTAGCTACTATCATAAGACTGACAGTAGTAGTCAGCCTCGTCCTCAGGCTGCAGCCCCGAGATGGTCAGGGAGGCCTTGGCTCCTGAACGGGAGCCAGAGAACCGAGCCGGGATCCCTGAGGGTCGACTGTTGCTACCATAGATGAGAAGTTTGGGGGCAGCTCCAGAGACCTGCTGGTACCACTTTGCACCACCGTATCCAACATTGTTGCTGCTTCCAGTGCAGGTGAGGGTGACAGTCTGACCCAGAGACCCCGACACTGAGGCTTCCTGGGTCAGCCCAGACTGGGCCCAGGTCCCTGGGATACAGGAAAGAAAGACAGAGACAGTGAGTAGGGTCTAACGACACAGTCTGGACCCCAGGGGAACAGGCCCAGCCTGTGTGTCCTCCTGGGGCCGCATTCCCACCCTGAGGGTCCAGGCACCTGTGTAGTGAGTGAGGAGCGTGAGGAGGAGAGGAGTCCAGTCCATGGTAGGGACAATGCTGAGGCTCCACCTTCTGAGTTCCTCCACTTACAGGGGGCACCTCTGATCTATTTTATCTTTCCCTGTGCCCCAGAGGAACAGGTTTCTTGATGCAAATAAGTCCCTCCAACTGCAGGTCTCAGCCCCTTCTTCTACTCTTGTGTCTACTGCTTCTCCTGGGGGTGGTGCTGTGAAGGGTGGGGCCTAGACTGACAGGGTCTGGGACTCCCCACGGTTCACAGGCAACACCTGGAGGAGGCACCCAGAATACAAACAGATGGCTGGGTTTCCAGCTGAGGGCACACCCAGCACACCCTCTCCAGAGCTGTCTTGCAGCGCCCCCTGCTGTCCCAGGCAGGGATTCCTCCATGGGAGAGAGGAGAAGCCAGGAGCCCACACAGAAGAATCAGCCTTCCTCACTCACACCTTGTCCTCCAGAAGGAAAACAAATTAACACCTCATCTTTTTCCCTGCCTTACCTCATAGTTCAAGGAGGAACCTTTCAGACAGCAACTCTGTGTAGAGAATTGTGGGATAGGCTTTTGGAACGTTCCCTGACAGAGAATGTGTCCCGCATCCTGCATTGGAAAAGGACATTGGACAGAGCCAGGCTGTGACCAGACTAAAGGGGGTTCCTTTGCCTGCACATCAAAGCCGAAGCAAACGCCAATAGGAGTTTGCAGCAAAGAGAGCCAAGGTTCATTTAAGGAAATGGCCTCGAGCCTGGAGACACAGGAGAGCCAGTGGTCTCCAACCTGGTCTCTGACGGCCCACAGGGTCCCAATCACACACGGGGAAAGTGTCCACTGTGCTGACTAATGGGGTTGGGGCCATGGGCTCCTCTGATTGGCTGGGGCCAGGGCAGGGGCAGTAGATCATTGCTCTGATGTCAGCCCTGGTAAGTTCTGTCTACTTTCCTGAGGGTGTGGGCTGTAGGGTCATGGAGCTTTCAAGAGCCTGGGTTATAACTGCAACTGCCAGGATGGACCTCCGTCCCTGGGCTATGCATTTGTCTTCATTAACCCTTCATGGGAACGGGGTTTCATGGACACGGAACACCAGAAAGCATTCACGAAGATGGGCCCTTGCTGACATGACCAGCTCACCCTCTCTAATGAGTGCTTCTCCTGAGGTTCCGAAGGGGCCTTCAGCGCCCTCCCTAGTGAAGCTGAGAACTGCAGCCCTGAGGTTGCTTGGTGGAGAAAGTCTCAACCACCAACCAGAGAGGCAAAGGGTACGAATCAGAGAGGGAATCAGGATCCTTGTGGAAGGGAGGAGGGAGAAGGAGGGCAACAGGCAAAAATGACTATGAACCACTCAGGTTCACTTCAAAACTGAGCAAAAAGTACGAAGTTCCCGTATGCCCCTGCCCCCACATTTACACAGCCTCCCCCACCATCAACACTGCCCACCCGAGAGGGACATTTGTTATAAACCACAAACCTACACTGACACTCTGTTATCAGCCAAAAACCCTATTTTACGTTTGGGTTCACCCCTGCGGTACATTCTATGGGTTTGGACAAATGTAAAAGGCATGAATCCACCATTACAGTGTCGCACAAAACAGTCTCGCTGCCCTAAACACCCCTGTGCCCCACAGCTCTGTCCCTCCCTGTGTCTCTCCCCTGACTTCTGGGAACCACTGGTCTTTCTACTGCCTCCTCAGTTTGCCCTTTTCCAGATCGTCATAGAGGTGGAATCATGCAACATGTAGCCTTTTCACATTGGCTCCTTTCACTTAGTAACATTCATGTAAGATTCCTCCATGTCATGCATTCCTCCTATTCATGCATTTTCCTTCTTCTCAAGGCTGAATTGTATTCCACTCACTGTACCTACAATGGTTTGTGTATCATCTACTGAAGAGCACCACAGCTGCCTTCAGGTGTTGGCATTTATGAACAGCTGCTATGCCATCCCTGTGTAGGTTTCTGATGGACATCAATTTGAACTCATTTGAGTGCTGGGTTCTACGGCAAGATTATTTTTAACTTTATTAGAAACGACCAAACTTTTTCAGAAATAGCTGTACTATTTTACTTTCCCACCAGCAATGAAACAGAGTGTCTTTTGCTCTGCATGCTTGCCAGCATTTGGTGTTGTCAGTGTTTTGATTTTTCCCAATCTAATAGGTGTTTAGTGGTATCTCATTGTTGCTTTAATTTGTGATCTTTAATGACACATCGTGTTGACATCTTTGCATATGCCCATTTGCATCTGTATGTCTTCTTTGGTGAAATGGCTGCTCAAATCTCTTTGACATGTTTAATAGGTTTTTCTTATTTTTGATTTTTAAGAGAGTTTTGTATAATTTTGTTAACAGCCTGTTTTAGATTTGTCTTTTGCAAATGTTTCCTCTTATTCTGTGGGAGAAACAAGTTGAATTGTGCCAGTCTTCTCATTCTTTTGACAGTGCCTGAGTCACCACAGAAGTCTTAAATTTAATATGGCCCAGCTGATCAATTTTTTCATGGATTGTGACTTTGGTGTTGTAATGAAAATGTCATCACCATACACAAGGACATCCCCTTTTTTCCCTGTTTTCTCTCCTGCATTTTATCATTTTGCATTTTACACTCAGGCCTATACATTTTGAGTTAATTTTTGTAAATGTTGTTAGGTGTATCTCCAGATTTTTGTTTTGTTTTCCATATGGAATCCACTTTTTCACCACCATTTGCTGATAGACTACCCTTCCTCCACTGCACTGCCTTCGCTCCATTGCCAAATGCCAGTGAACTGTACTTGTGTGGGTCTGTTTCTTGGCTCTCTGTTCTGTTCCATTGGTCTGCCTGTCTGTTCTTTTGCTAATGCCGCTCTGTCTTGCTCACTGTATCTTTACAGTTGGTATTGAAATTAGGTAGTGTCAGTCCTCAGAGCTTCTTCTTCTCTCTCAATGTTGCCTTGGCTATTCTGGATCTTTTCCTCATCCATATAAACTGTTAGAATGACATTGTTGGTATTTACAAAATAACTCTCTGAGGTTTCCACTGGGATTGCATGGAATCTGTAGATCGACTTGCAGAGAACTGACATCTGGACAATATTGAGTCTTCCTGTCCGTGAGCACGGGATCTCTCTCCACTTATTTGATTCTTCTTTGATTTCTTTTCTCAGAGGTTTGTAGTTTTCCTTCCATGGGTGTTGTACATATAGTGTTACATTTATATTTCATTTAAGTATTTCATTTAAGGGCAATGATGTAAATGATATTGTGCTTTTCATTTCACACTCACTACTTCGTTGCTGATATGTAAGAAAGTGGTCAACACTTGTATATTACTGCTGTGTCCTACTACTTTCTTATAATTTCTTATTAATTCCTGGAGGGGTTTTTGTTGTTGTTGTCATCGATTCTTTCAGATTTCTTTGTAGACAACCGTGTCATTCATAGAAGAAGGTAAGTGTATATCTTTCTTCTCAATCTATATAACCTTCATTTCTTTTCCTTGTCTCATTGGCGAAAACTTGTATGACAATGTTTAGGGTAGTGGTGAGAGGGGACATCCTTGCCTTGTTTCTGATCTTAGCAAAAGAGTTTATTCGCATATATTAGCATGACATTAGCTATAGTTTGTTTGTAGATGTATTTCCCTCTATGTTGAGTTTGTGTGAGTTTTTACCATGAATGGATGCTGAATTCTGTCCAATGCTTTCTCTGCATCAATCCATATGGTTATGTATTTGATCTTCTTCATCCTGTTGATGTGATAAATTACATTAATTGATTTTTGAATATGGAACATACCTGGAATAAGTGCCACTTGCTCATGGTGTATAATTTTTTACCCATTTTTGTATTCCATTGGCCAACATTGTATTGAGGATTTTTACATCTCTTCCCATGAGTGATATTGATCTGTTATAATTATTTTCTGTAATGTTTTTAACCAGTTTTGATATTAGGTTGATGCTGTTCTCATAAAATGAGTTAGGAAGTATTCCATATGCTGCTATTTTCTGGAAGAGCCTGTGGAGGATTGGTATAGTTTTCTTCTTAAGTGTTTGGTGGAATTTACCAGTGAACCCACTTGAGCTTGGTTTTGTTCCATTTTGGAAGGTTACCAGTTATTGATTCAATTTTTTAATTGGTCTACACTTGTTCAGATTGTTTGTTCCTTCTTGAATGAGCTTTGAGTGGACTGTGTCTTTCAAAGACTGATTTATACTATTCCTGTGTTATCATTTTAATGTTCATGGGATCACTACTCTTTCTTTCTTCTGTAATATTAGTAATTTTTATCTTCTCTCTTTTTCCTTAGTTAGCATAGCTAGGGATTTACCCATTACCTTTTCAAAGAACCAGCTTTTGATTTTGTGGATTTTCTCTCCTAATTCACTGTTTCCAATTTCACTGATTTATGTCTTAATTTTTATCATTTATTTTCTTCTGCTATTCTTTATTTAAAGTGTACTTCTCTTCCTAGTTTTCAAAAGTAGAAGTTTATACTATCACTTGTAGGTCTTTCTTTTATCCAATATATGCACTCAGTGTTTTTCTCTAAGGACCCATTTGCCACATCTCACAATTGTTGATGTTTTATTTTCATTTAGTTCAATTTTTTCAAAATTCTCTTGATATTTCCTCTTTGGCACATGTGTTGTTCAGAATTGTATTATTGAATCTGTAAATGTTTGGGAGATTTTCCAGCTGCTTGTTACTGATTTCTAGTTTAACTCTCTTTTGATCAGAGACAGATACTGTACAAAGTCTCAAGGACAATCATCAGCCCCCTGTTTCTCCTTGGCATTGTAACTGTTTTTCCCTAAATATTTTGCCACTCTGTTGTTAGAGGACCATTTCCCTTGAGGGCCATCCTTGTAGAAGGCCGTCCACAAAAGTGTGGAGTTTCCCTTATGAGTTGCCGCCTCACCCTCAGGAGTTTTTAACCCTGGGATTTGTCCACCTCCAGCAATTCATCAGCACAGTTTAGGTTTTTGGATTGAGCGCTGGTCGCCATGGAGGTTTCTGCTCCAACAGCTTGTGATTGTCTGTATTCACCTGCCTGTCTCCGCAGTTTTGGGGTCAGTGACCTCACCTCTCTGAAGGATATCAGAAGAGTTATTGATTCTCCTGTTTGTCAGATTCTCACCTGTT